AGCAAGTTTAGTATTATTTCAAGTTAGAGAGTCCAATCATCAGTCTAATAACGGCAGGGAAGAATCATGCATAAGCACCACCTCAAACAAATGTTGCGCCATTTGTGTTTGTAAATGGGGGCCAAGCCTTTTATTATAAGATTTTCTTGACAAATTTATGTTGTTCTAAGTATAATATTTGGTCTGAACACCAGAGGCTGCTGCCAAAATGGTAAATTTCTTGAAAGTTATCCAAATGTGATGCGAATAGAAGGCTTGATAAAGACTGATCACAGCCTCCTGTTGATCGATTCCTGAGAAATGTGGAGTGTGACTCTGACTTACCTGTTCTGCTATAGATTTTGTTCCCTGATGTAAGTTACGGCCAGCACAGACTTTGAGGCTAAAGTATCTGTTAGATCAGTGATAAAACGTTCATCGAGGAGACAAAGTTATAATGACATAAAAACACCAATACATGACCTCATTTCCCAAAGTTACAGTCAATGAAGCATTCTGAAATGTAGTCACTGTAGTACTGCAGTAAAAGCAGCAGCCAAACTGTCGACAGGAAATTCTCAAATTACATTGTCACAGTAGATAATCTATTTTTGTTAAATATTTTCAGGGATAAATATTACTTGGGACACCACAGATAGCTCCTCTGCTGCTCTTCAGAATAGCATTAAGACCATAAGATGTAGAAACAAAAGAAGGCCAGCCCATCGAGACTGCTCCACCATTAAGTGACGCCACAGCTGATCTAATAATCCTCAGCTTCGCTCTCCTGCCTAATGTCCATAATCCTTGGAACCTTTGGTTAAAAATCTGTCCGTCTGAGTCTTGAAATACTTAATGACTCAGCCTTGACAGCCCTCGATTAAAGAATTCCACAGATTCATTATCCTTTGAGAGAAGAAATTCCTTCTTATCTTTGTCTTAAATGTGTGACCCCTTATTCTGAGATTATGCCTTCAGGTCCTAGATTCTCCCATAAGGGTCTCCATACCTAGGAGAGGATATTCTTTCCATAGAGGGAGTACGGTCAAGGTTCATTGGACTGATACTGGGAAGTGCAAGTTTGTTGTATGAAGAGAGTGTGGCTCACCTGGGCCTGTGTTCACTAGAGTTTTGGACAATGAAAGGGGGTCTGATTGAAACATATGAATTTATAACAGGACTATACAGACTTGATACAGGAAGGCTGCTTCCCTTAGTTGGGAGTATAGAACCAGGGGTTCACAGTTTCAGAATATGAAGTCGGCTGTTTAGGATTAGATGAGGAAACATTTTTTCATTTTGGAGGGTGGTGAATCTGGAATTTGCTGCTACAGAAGATTATGGAAGCTGAGTATATTCTAGAAAGCGAATGATATATTATTAGATATTAAAGAGATCACGGGCCATAGAAACAAAGCTGAAACGTGGCATTGAGGTTAGCGGATTGGCCATGATCATGTTGAATGGCAGATCAAACTGGAATAGTCGAATATCCTCCTCCTAGTTTCTAATTTTCTATGTTAAATAGGTGGCCCCTTACATTGAGATTATACTTTTCTGGTGTATATATACCTGACAATAGGGAAACAGTATCTCCATCTACCCTCGAACCTCACATGCTTCAAAAGGCCTCTTCTCATTCTTCTAAACTGTGGTGAGTACAAGCCCAACTTATTCGATCTCTTGTCATAAAAAAAATTCCTCCAAACCCAGAATCAACCTACTAAACAGTCTGTGTAACAACATATCTTTCCTTGGATAAGGGGCCCAGAACTCTTCACAGTATTCCAGTTGTGGTCTGAATTGTGCCTTGCATAATTTTAGTGAGACCTCCCTATTTTTGTACTCCATTCTTTTTAAAATAAAGGTACTCTCTATTACTCTTGGAACATGGATGCAAACTTGTTTTGTGATTCATCTATGGGGATAGTCTCACCCTGTGCTGCAGTTTTCTGCCTGCTTTTCTATTTTCAAATATTATTCAGCTCTTTTATTCTTCCTGCCAAAGTGCATTACGTCATATTTTCCCACATCTTTAATTCACAAATCAGATATTTGTCCATTCTCTTAACCTGTCCGTATCCATCTGCAGACCCTGTCATCCTCCCCACTTGCCTTTGTCTATTTTTGTTGTTCACAGACTTAGCTGTCATGCATTCACTTCCCTTATCCAAGTCAATAATATATATTGTAAATTGTGTCCACAGCAGTGATCTCTGTGGCACTCCCTACTTACGGATTGTTATTCTGAAAATGCCCCCCTTATCCTGTTCTCTCTTAGCCAGTTCTCTATCCATGCTGATAATGCACCCCCAAAACCATGGACTGTTATTTGGTCAGTGCTATTATTGAAGCTATGAGACTTGTCTTGAATATACTTAATGACTGAGAATAGAGATGCACAAATAAAAAGATGCACGACTGATCCTCATTTTCTCATCTCTGTCCTAAATGTGTGACTCCTTTGTTTAAGACTGTGACCCTATGTTTTAGATTCACCTTCCAGCATCTACCTGTGAAGCCCCTTAAGAATTTTATATCTTTCAACTTCATCTCACCTCATTCTTCTAAACTCAAGAAAATGTAGGAATAGTTACTCTTGAGCTCATTTATCAAAGTCAAATATGCCCTGCCTTGGGTAAGGAGATAAATATTGAACTGGACTTCAGGTGTGGTGTCTGACTTGTTGTAGTCTCATCCCCACCTCCCTTGATCAGGCACAACCTACCCATCTTCTCTCCCACCTATCCGCTCCTCCCACCTCACTGACCAATCCCCACCACTCCCTACCTGCACTCACCTATCACCATCCCATATACCTTCCCCAGCCCCACCCCTCCCCTCAATTTATTTCTGAGCTTCCTTCCCACTTCTGAAGAAGGGTCCCGACCCAAAACGTCAACTTTCCTGCACCTCTGATGCTGCCTGGCCTGCTGTGTTCCTCCAGCTCCACTGTTATCTCTGACTCCAGCATCTGCAGTTCTTGCTATCTGAGTGAATGACACTCCAAATGTGGTCTGACCAGTGATTTGTAGAAGTGTGACATCATTTCCTTGCTTTTATATTCTTATGCTTCTATTTGTAAACCCAAGGATCCTGTAACCCTCCTTAACTGTTTCAATTTCCTGGCCACCTTTGGAGAATTATGCACATGACCCCTGAGGTTCTGTACTCCCCTCAAAGTTGTATCATTGAGCATGTATTGATTGTCTCTCCATGTTTCTTCTACCAAAAACATTACCTCCTATTTCTCTGGTATTGAAATTTATCTGTCAGGCATCTGCCCATTTGGCCAACTTGTCAATGTCCTTCTAAAGTCACTTAGCATCATCCTCACAATTTCCTATTCTCCTCGACTTAGCATCATTTGCAAATTTAGAGATTTTGCCATCAGCACCAATTTCCAAATCATTTATATTAATGACAAAAAGCAAGGGTCCCAGTATCAATACCTGGGGAACACTTTTGACTTGTCTCTAATCTGAGAAATGCCCATCTATGCCTACCCTCTGTTTTCCTATGTTTTAGCCAACTTCTCATCTGTGCTATTGAGAACCCTTTAATCCAAAACATTTCTAAATTGCTAACCATAAGACTGTAAGATATAGGAGCAGAATTAGGCCATTTGGTCCGTAGAGCCTGTTTTACCATTCAAACATGGCTGATCTGTTTGTCAACCCCATTCTCCTGCCTTTTCCCCATAACCCTTGATCCCCTAACCTATCAAGAACCTGTTTCAAATCGGTTCAGATCTGTTTCAAATACACTCAATGATTTGGCATCCACAGCCTTCCGCAGCAGAGAGTTACAGAATCACCACCCTCTGGCTGAAGAAATTCCTACTCATCATCTCAGTTGTAAAGTGTCAGGCCTTTACTCCTTGGCTGTGCCCTAGGGTCCTTGTCTCTCATACTAGTAAAAGCATCTTCTCCACATCCATTGTCTTCAGGTCTCTCAGTATTCTGCAAGTTTAAATCAGATCCACCTCCCCCAGTACCAACCTTTTCCTTCTAAATTCCATTGAGTACACACCCAAATATGCCATGTGGCACTAAATCGAATACTTTCCGAAATTATATATATCAACAGCACTATCCTTATCCACACTCTTTCTCACCTCGTCAAAGAATTCAATTAAATTTGTCAGACATGACCTGCCCTTGACAAAGCTGTGTTGACTGTATAGTATTAACTTATTATTCTGAGTGTATATTTATCTTATTCCACATTATGACCTCCAGTTTTCCCCCTATCCTTTGCCCCTTTCTTAAACAACGGCATCACATTTACAATCCTCCAGTTCCCTGGGAATAGTACTTTGTTCAGAGAAGCCTGGAAAATTTCTGTCAATGGCTTTGCAATTTGCTTGGGAAACAGTCGGAATAAATGGGTCTTGTTCTAAAATTCACCCACTATGTATGTAAAGTAAGAGATAGGCTTATGTAAAGCAATAGAAGCAGAAGAATATACACTTCAGTATGTGATGTGGCTAGTTTTGATGCAGTGTCCTTCTTGAATTAGGATTTCAAATTACTCCCTTCATTAACTTTCAGGCTGAGAATCTTTCAAGTAATATTTTAATTTTTGAAGCTACGTTGACAAGCATCTCGTGAATAATTCTGAGGGTGTGTGCATGTACATATAGTTTGCATTTACAAACACATATGCATGCTTGACATAGACACACTGTCAATATGTATCAATGACTGAACCAGGCAAAGCTCATATTTGTCCGCAAGGAAATTACAACTCTTGCAGTTATCTTCGTAAAATTGAGTGGGAAATGTTGATCTTATAGTTAGTGGTGATAGTGATAAATGCTGAAATAAATGTGATCAGAATTGTGGTAAAAGAAGTGTGCACTGTATGGATGTTTTATTGTATGACAGTTACAAACTTGTTAATTTCTGTGTGACCTTGTGATTTTTATTAACTCAATTACAAGATCATAATAAATGTAAAATGGGATCTGTAATACTGAATAACAAGAAAATTAGGCTTTATCCCTTTTTTTCCCACAGACTTGCTACATCTGTGAGGAACAAGGCCGTGAGAGCAAAGCAGCAACTGGTGCTTGTATGACTTGTAATAAACATGGATGTCGACAGGCTTTCCATGTGACTTGGTCAGTATATTTTCTCTAAGTGAAAAATTGTCATAAGGACTTCACTTAATACAGACATCATTGTGCCTTCTTAAGGATGCATACTAAGCAATACAAGTCAGGGTGACCTTGTCTATAATCTGGTTCTTTACACTTCACCCTGAAACCTTTGGACCAGCAAATGGGCCATGCTAGCAGTAGTTCATTTATCTTTGTTATAGATACTGAAAGCTATGCATATATATGCCACCAGCAAAAGATTTGAATTGTGAAGTGATATTCCTCACAAATGAAGTAACAGTTGACTGTCTTGCCTATACACTTAAAATAACAATGATACCCGAAGTATCTCAGATAAGTAAACAGTACCTCTTTACGATGTGGGAGTTTCAGGTGAGGAAATCAGAAATTTTGGAATGAGATTTGGAAAAAGAATGACACAGACCCTACAGTGGAAACACCCCCAACAGGTCTACGCTGATAATGGTCCATGGAAGTCCTGCTCCCACTTGAATGATCTCTTCCACGTTTACCTTTATTTCCCGATTTTTCTCCTCCCTTATTTGTTCCTAGAGTCTTTCTTTAAATGTGGGACTGTGAATGCTATCACTTTAGAGCATAAAATGTTGGAGCACGACGAGGCCATTTAGTCCAGCAAGTCTGCTCCATTATTCAATAAGGTCATGTCTGATCTGATAACCTTCAAATTCATTGTCTGCTTTTTCCCTATAACCCTTGATTCCCTTGCTGATTAATGAACTATCTCCGCTTGAATATACTTAATGGCCTAATCGGTCTGGCACTCTGCCGTGAAGAATTGCACATATTCACTACCCTCTGAGAAGGAATTTCTCCTCATCTCTGTCTTAAATGGAATATACATTGAGTTCCACGTAATTTTTATAAGGACCCAGAGTTGCTCACAGTATTCCCAAATGTAATCTAAATGGGATAAATACAACCACTGTTTTTGTCATTTATATTAATGATTTGAATGTGAATTTAGGGGGTATGGTTAGTAAGTTTGCAGATGACACCAAAATTGGTGGTGTAGTGGACAGCAAAGAAGGTTACCTTAGAGTATGATGGGACCTTGATCAGATGGACAAATAGGCTGAGGAGTGGCAGATGAAATTTAATTTAGATAAATGTGAGGTGCTACGTCTTGGTAGGGCAAGTCAAGGCAGGACCTATACACTTAATGGTAATGTCTTGGGGCGTGTTGCTGAACAAAGAGGCCTTAGAGTACAGATTCATAGTTGCTTGAAAGTGAAGAAGGCGTTTAGTATGCTTGCCTTTATTGGTCAGTGCATTGAGTATTGGAGTTGGAGGTCATGTTGTGGCTGTACAGGTCATTGGTTAGGGCAGTTTGGAATGCTGCATTCAGTTTTGGTCTCCTTGCTTTAGGAAAGGTGTTGTGAAACTTGAAAGGTTCCAGAAAAGATTTACAAGGATGTTGCCAGGGTTGGAGGGTTTGAGCTATAGGGAGAGGCTGAATAGGCTGGGGCTGTTGTCCCAGGAGCATCGGAGGCTGAGGGATGATTTTTATCGAAGTTTATAGAATCATGAGGGGCATTGATAAGGTGAATATCCAAGGTCTTTTCCCAAGGCAGTGGAGTCCAAAACTAGAGGTCATACGTTTAATGTGAGAGGGGAAAGATTTAAAAGGGACTTGAAGGGCAACTTTTTCATGCAGAGGGTGATGCATGTATGGAATGAGCTGGCAGAGGAGATAGTGGAGGCTGGTACAATTCCAACATTTAAAAGGCACCTGGATGGGTACTTGAAGAGGAAGGATTTAGAATGATATGGGCCAAATGCTGGCAAAAGGGACTAGATTAATTTAGGATATCTCGTTGGCATGGACGAGTTGGACCGAAGGCTCTGTTTCAGTGCTGTACATCTTTATGATGCTGTTTAGTTTTACCTTCCTGCTCTCGCACATTAGAATTTAGAGAACTCTTCTGTTAATCTTTGTGCTACTTTTATCCATGATATACCTGTCTTTGCTAAGACCTCCTGAAGAATTAGAGTATTTATTTCCTCCAGTGACGTCAGGTCCTTCTAGAGTTATTACTAAAGGTAGCATTATGTGCACTTATATGGAAGTGGGAATTTTGAAGAAAAGTGGAATAAGTTAATGTCTACATCTGTGTTTTCCCCATTTACTTTAAGCAACGACTTTTGGGATATTGTCAGAGGTTCAGAGATCAGGTTAAAAATTTTGGCCAGGGACATATTTGATGTAGGAGTATCAGGGCAAAATATTAAGCCATTAGAATTATAACTGGTTTATGCTTCCCATTGATTCCAGTGGCTATGGATAACTCATGACTCCTGTTCTTCATTTCTCCTCTTGTGTTATCTTGCAGAAACTTGGCACACTGATTTCAAGGTCATTTTATTCATCACTTGCTGTCAGTGGCCCTTCCTGTGTTGCCATATTCTGATCTTGTTGTGTGACTGTTGGTGCTTATATTAACTGTTGATTGCGATCACTACCCATAGTCACGACTCGTAATAATCATGACCCAATTAGTAGATCCTTAACACAAACACAGCATTATACATGTAGTTCTAATTAACTCCTTTACACATCTAAAACAACCCTTCAACTAGTAACTCAACAAAATGTGCATATAAGGTATTTATAATACTAAATATTAAAATTATATGGGATATGAAATTATAAAATATTTATACTTGCTACAGTATGACTTGGGTACTGTTCAACTGGAAACTTGCCCAAGTGACTCTTCTAACTGTATGAATGCTGATGGTATGGGGAAGCTGTTAATCATGGATGCATCATATCCAACCTTGTTTTGGCTGTGGCCAGGTCCAATAGTGACTGGATAAAAATTGAAATTAGAAAATCCCGATATCTTCGCCCCGGTCTGGCCCAGGGATGCTGTAGCCAACTGCAGCATCTCTGCAACTTTTATTGAACAATTAATTGGAAGTTGAAAATGGAATTTACTAACCTGTGTGGCGCAACATATTGACCTTGCCAACTGAGCCAGTTGAAGAATTATTTAATATTGTCTCTCCTCCCTTCCTCTTCTGAAGGCATTGACATCTTTCTGAGCAGATCCACAGACCCTGGTTCCCTTCAGTACCTTGCACAAATGGCTTATTCACATAATAGCCTTGAACGTACATGTCAGCACTCCATTGGATGCTGTGTAAGGGTTTGTGGGTGTTACGGCATCATATGCAAGCTAAATGCATCTTGACATTCACATATTTTCCACAGGGTTGTTGAATAGCAATCTAAATTTCTTCAACATGTCAATGAATAAATACACTACATTGCAGGATACCTGGCCATCCAGACAAGCGTGGTCTTAAGTTTGACACTTCTTTCTTGTGGTAGCTGTTTGGTGTGTTCCAGTTGCTCTCTCTGCTTGGGTTGGAGGGGAATAATGTTTCAGTTTCTGGCAAGTTCTGTTCCTTGTTGCAAATTGCAAAGCTGTTAATATTATTTGAGCATAGAATTGAGATGAACCACAATGTTCCTATTGTGAAATGTATAAGCATGGACTGTAGACAGAACATGAAGGAAGCTGCTGAGCTAAGGCTTTTGTAACATGGTAATAGACCCATATACCACTATTTTTAAATCCCAGCCTCCAAAAATGATATCTATACATTGCATCTCTCATCCTACAATGAATACATGCCATCTTCTTTGATGATTTAATGTAAAATTCCAATTGTAAATTAAAAAGAACACGTTCTCCTAGAAGCACACTCCACTGATTTTAAACTTAGCCGATCTAACTGCACACTGGCAAAGCTACAATTTAGGGCCATCTGATTGAGCACCACAATAAATCTGAAGTTTAATCAGCCAAAACATGTAGAGCTACTGGAATTAAGCTTCATGTTGCTAAGACTCTTGGACTGCAGATTTATCTACAGCAGAACAGGAAGAAAGCCACCCTTTGGTAATGAGTGTAAGCCACAAATTTCTGTTTTGCAACTACTTCAATGGTCAGTCAGTCGTGCTTCAAAATACTGAATTGGTATTACCAGTTTTTGCATTTTGCAGCCACCTCAGTGCCGAGTTTAAACTCCTTTTTCTCCCATTCTTTGAAAGGAGGTTTGTTGTCAGAAACATGCCAAGTGTGGGCTTGATGCTTTTAAAAAGATAGTACCATGCTGATTCAGCAATTTAATTACATTACATTATGATTGATATTTTCCCATTACCTGGAAGTTGGTTATGCTTTCCACTGGTTATTTATTAGCTCAGTACTGAGGCTGATTGTGGTGACTGTGCTGATGCTTTGTTGCAACAAATTAATTACATTATTGAGCACAAACCAAACTTGGTAGCTTCTGATTTCTTCAACACTATACTGTTTTTAAAAAAAAGTCACCTTTATGCACTAGAACACTGTGAAGGTCCCTTTACATTAAGGGAGCGACATGGTTGTGGGGTGCTCTGTTAAGAAGCAAGCTGGTCAAATTTTATTGATTGAATTGAGGCTTGTAGAAAATCAAATTCTTGAACTGTTAAGAGAAGCTAGGATAGTGTTTAGGATAGCACTGTGATTGAGAAATTATTTGGGGAGGGAGGATGGAAAAAATAAGTAAAATCACAGGTGCAACCTTATCAGCAGATCCTACATTATACAATTCAGTACATTTTAGTCATTTTTGTGACAATTTTTACTTTTTTTGTGATTAGTGCACAGCTGGCAGGACTTCTGTGTGAAGAAGAAGGTTCAGAAGCTGATAATGTTAAATACTGTGGCTACTGCAAATATCATTTTGGCAAGTTGGTGAGTGCTATGAATTTTTCATGGATAATAATAGTTTTCTCTTTTAAAAATAATCTGAAGTAACAATTGTTTGGATTAAATGGAATTTAAAGCAAGTTTCACAATGATTATATGGTCAACCACTATCGATTGCTATAATAATCCATCTGGCTCACTAATTGTATTCCGGGAAGGAATTCTGTCATTCTTGCCTATTCTGGCCTACATGTGACTCCAGACCCACAATAATATGGTTAACCCTATAACAATGTGGTTGACTCTTAAATGCCATCTGAAATGACATCGAGAGCCATTTATTTCAAGGGAAACCAGGGATGGATAATAAATGCTGGCCTTGCCAGCATGCTCAAATTCCCATACAAGAACAAAGGAAAATGAATTAATTCAGTTTCTACAAACAAGCCTGGAGACTATCCAGCACACAACCTTACTTGCATGACAGTTGTGCTATTCTTGAGGCAGTATATGCTTTGTAGTTCTGAGTTCACCATGTCACTTCAACTGTGGGGTGTATGTAAATGTGGAATGCAGTTAATCTGAAGGTGTTAACAAACGACCAATCGGTACTGAAACTGTATTAAAGTAATGAGTTTCACCAGTTTATACATTTGCCGTTGATTCACTTCATTAAGGGGAGAAAAGAACTGAATGTAAAAAAAAAACACTGCAGGACAGTTTATAGTTTGAACAATTTTACTATGTAGATGATATGAAATATCAACAGGTGTTGTAAAATTAAATTAAACTTTATTTATATATCCATGTGTGCTTGTCTCCTATAGTGTTGACTATTCCTATGCATTCCTAGTCATCCTACTAGATTCTAACCTTTGCAAAGTTGAAGTCTTCAGGGTAAAAGCCATTAGGGTATCTGTACTCTTTCAAACTGGCTTGTTGAACATTCCCACTTTCCCACTTTTGGTGACAGGCTTGCAGCTGCCTACACTGAGCCACAGGAAGTCTCTTCCTAAAAGGTGCGTTCTTGTGCTCACTGTCTCTTGCTCCATCCCGCGCTGGCTCGTGCCCTGGCCCGCGCCCTCGCCGTCTCTTGCGCCCTGACCTGGCCCGCGCCCT